TGCTCAGATCCACCGTCCCTGCAGAGACATTTCTGTTAATATGTCGTTTATTAAAATACTTTTTAAATGATGATTTAGTGAAATTGTTCCAGACCTTGTTTGTCCATCCGTGGTTGACAGTTCAAGCCAAAGGAAAGCTCAAACAGAACCCAAATCAGAGGTTTAATAAGCAGCCGGAGAATCTGGTAAAAACAGCCAAAAGATGTATGAACCCTGGTGGAGCTTTGAAACTGCAACAGCCTGACGGAGCAACAGAAAGTAGTGTCCATAAGCTTCATTAAAGGTTTTATATGAAGTATTAAACATTATATTCTCTATATACAGACACAGAGTCACATGGTGTCTCTCTCCCTCTGCCTGTGTTGTATCGCAGCCTCTCTGTGGGTTGTTTCCATAGCCGGTCTGCTCCGACTAAAACTGCTGTTTTTATCATCTACGTCGGTGAATTAAGGATTTATTTCCACCAAACCAGAGTTGGTGATTGTTGGAAACACTAACAGAGACGCTTTAATGAGTTTTATTCTGTTTCTGTCCACTGTCTAAAAGCAGCTTAATAATCCTCTTTTTCCATTTTAATTTCAGTTTCTTATATTTTTATTTATTTATTTCAATTTTATTCATTTCGAATTTTAAGTTTATTTAAATTTTATTTTTTTCTATAATATTTTTTATTTTATTACTTTTCAGTCTTATTTATTTTCTTTATATTTAAAAACATTTAATAAAAAATAAAATCCTCTTTTCTCTCATTTAAAAACGAATGTAATTTGACCGTAAATTTTACTTATTTTGTTTTTTTTATTTTATTTTAAACATTTTAAATCATTTTTTTAAATAAAAAAATAAAATCCTCTTTTCATTGCAGAAACAACACAACTACAGTAACTACAGAGGGGCACAGTTGATCTGGACTCTAATGGATGTTTATAATGGACAATCATTTTAATATTTGTCTTTATTTCCTCCTCTAAATAAGTTTCTCTAACCGGCTGTAATGGTCCTTTAACGGCGGCCCGTATGAACACATACAGACAGTTGGTGTGTGTCACAGTCTTAATGTCATGTCAGTCATCTGGTCCACAGGCGGCTCCATTAACTAATCGCCCCCTATAGACACAACACCAATTAACTCCAGGTCTCTCTCTCAGTCAGCTGTTCGTCAGGAAGGACGTCCATTTTAGACACAACTGCAATTAACTCTCCCTGTCTGTCCCTCCGTCTGTCTGTCCCTCTGTTTGCCTGTCTGTGTGTCTGTTTGCTGTCTGTCTGTCTGTCTGTCTGTCTGTCTGTCTGTCTGTCTGTCTGTCTCATTAGCTGTAGGTCACAGAGCTCAGAGGACGAGTAGGACCAGAGGATCTCCTCCAGTTATGATGATAATTAATTAAATGATGGATTCAGTGTTGGTGGAAGAACTACTGAGATAGTTTACTCAAGTAAAAGTAGTTTAAAAGTATAAATTAGAGCCCAGTAAGTTGATATATGGATCAGTATTAGCAGTATATTGCAGACATATTGGTATTGGTGAATTATCTGATATATGTAGATATTAAAACTGATTTTTTAAATTAGTATAAAGCAGAAAGGAGGTTGGAAGTTGACCGCGGCTCCAAAAGGGGAATATTTAATATATTTAATCTTATTCTACGACAGTATCGACTATTATCTGTTTCTATGTGTGTAGCATGAAGGAACTGTAGCCTATGGAAGCCCATTACCGCCAAAATGATGATAATAATAAGAAACTTTCTAATTATTATGATACAGGATCTTTTTTTATTCATCCCATTGGTGGAAATGGACTTCTATAGAAAACTTTAACTGAATGATTAAATGTTGTGAATAATTAATATTCGTTCTTACTGTAATTTTCCCGATATGAACACCGACCGTGTATCTGCAGATCAATATATGTCTGTATGTCGATAACTGAGAGGAACACAAACAGGTTGATGATGTTTTCATTCTTAAAACTCAGAGGTCAGAGTGGGCGGAGCCTCAAAGGTCGTTTCCCTCTCATTAGTTATATATTAAAGGTCACAGAGCTCAGGAGTGAGACAGTATCCATCGTCTCTCTGTGAGACATTAAAGGATTTCTGAATGAAGCGTGACTTGTCTCTCTCTCTCTCTCTCTCTCTCTCTCTCTCTCTCTCGCTCTCTACACATCATCTCCGTTGCGGTCACCATGGCGACTGAGCGGCATCGATGACGCGCCGTCTCTCCCCTCTATATTTACTCTGTTGCTGTAGCGACGACCCAGACGTGCCACTAAAGAAGAGGAAGATTAGAGGAGGAAGATGTCCCACAGATGGACGGACACTGAATGTATTCGTTTGATGTTTTTATTTTGTTTTCCAGCTTGGCCTCCAACCGTCTCCTCCTCCTCTTCCTCCTCCTCCTCAGTCCCTCACATTACATGGCCAAAAGTATGTGGACAAGAGGACAACGTTAATATGACGCTCAGCTCTTCTGGTTTCAGGCTTTGTCCATCAGATTTCCAACCTGGCTGCAGAGATTGCTCCCACTGAGACACAAGAAGCAGCAGCGAGCAGATTTCAGACTATAAAAAACAGCCGAGACAATAAAATATAATCCATAAAGTCCAGTTTGAGTGACTGTGCAGGTTTTTAATGATTCTCAGACAGGATTTTACAGCTCTGAAAAGTCAATCTGCAATTATTTTACGCTTTGTGTCTCTGATTGTGAGGTAAACAGCAGGAACACAGTGTTTACTATGTAATCTACCAAGAATGAATTCATGCCAGATGATGTTGCATTCAGAGAGTGAGGAGGCTGCTTCTTTTCAGGCAGGACGTGGCCTTTAGTGAGGCTGAAAACTGGCTATTTAAATCCCAGTTTATACAGAAATGTCCCATAAAAAATACCTGCAGCTTTCAGCGTGTGTGTGAATACTGAAAGAAACCCGACAAGATGATCTTAAACCGTCATTTCTACAGAAATAAACAACATCTGCTATTATCAATTTTCATGCTAAAATTGTTGTTTACAGTCCAGAATCTGTAAACTATCAGGCAGCAGGTAAAAACAGCCAAACAATGTATGAACCCTGGTGGAGCATTACGACCGCAACAGGACGGAGCAACAGAAAGTAGTGTCCATAAGCTTCATTAAAGGTTTTATATGAGATATTAAACATTATATTCTCTATATACAGAGTCACATGGTGTCTCTCTCCCTCTGCCTGTGTTGTATCGCAGCCTCTCTGTGGTTTGTTTCCATAGCCGGTCTGCTCCGACTGAAACTGCTGTTTTTATCATCTACGTCGGTGAATTAAGGATTTATTTCCACCAAACCAGAGTTGGTGATTGTTGGAAACACTAACAGAGACGCTTTAATCAGTTTGAATCTGTTTCTGTCCACTGTCTGAAAGCAGTTTAATAATCCTCTTTTTTCATTTTGATTTCAGTTTCTTATATTTGTATTTATTTATTTATTTAAATTTTTTTCATTTAGTTTGTTACGTTTATTTAAATTAGTTTTTATATTACATTTTTTACTTTATTGCTTTTTAGTTTTATTCATTTTATTTTTATTTTCTTTATATTTAAAAACATTTAATAAAAAAATAAAATCATCTTTTCTCTCAGTTCAAAATAAATGATACATTTCTATTTGTATTTTGTTTATTTATAACTTTTTTAATTTTACTTATTTTGTTTTTTTTAATTTTATTTGAACATTTTTCATTTATTTTTCATTTTTCAATCCACAAATGAAGCAAACACTGAAGCTGCAGTTCCTCTAACGGCCACTAGAGGCTGGCTCCAGCAGGCCTCATATTAAAATGTCTTTACAGCAGAAATAAACATGTTTACAGCCTTTTGGTCTCTAGACAACTGTACATCTAATCCCTTTAAAGTATATTAAGGCTTAAAGTTTTCTAAATTAATCCATCAAGGGTTCTGCGTGCCGATGTAGTCTCATCTATAACATTAAAACCGACTCGTATCAGTGAATCTATAAAGACTTCTCTTCATTGGAGCCAAAAACAAACCAACATGGACACAAAGTGGTGTCCACATACTTTTAGCCACAGTTTAACAGGAGCTGAAACTGATCTGATCACACATGGTGTCAGCTGCGATGTGTTTACTGTCAGCTGTTTGTTAATGGTGCTTTAAGTCCTTCATTCACACTCTGAGAGTCTTTAATGGTGTCTCGCTGCTTCACTCTCCCTCCGTCTATTTCTGTTCTTCAGGCAGCTGCGACACAAGAACCGATCAGACCGAAATGCTCCCGATGAAATGAACAACAACAATAACAATAACAGGCTATTCACAAGATTGCTGCTTCCATTTTTATCTGTGCACGCTTCGGCTTTCAGTCATTTCATGTCTGATTTTAAATGTCTGATGCATCGTATTGAGCCCTGATCCTCTAAAGACACTGATTCAACCTGTCAACCAGTAGCTTGCTTTCAATTTACTGTATATTTCTTGTCTTGCACAATTACATTCATTTCTTTATTACTACCTCCAGCTTTGACCTGTGCAACATTCACATATATACAAAGCTGTATATAGTGTACATATAACTCTTATTATTATGTTTATTTGAGATACAACAGCTAGAAAAAGCAATGAAAATAAATAATTATATTTTGACATGCTGACATAATGTCATTTTCATATAGAAATGAACTACATGTAACATGTACAGGATCATTTGGAGGATTTGGTGGAAAAATAAAGTTGCAGCTCAGCTTTTAAAGCATGTAGGAGAAACTACGGTGGATGCAAATGTAGATCCTCCTCAGTGTTAAACACTAGACTCCCTTTAAAATGTCTCTTTGCACAACATGAGAACAATGTAGTAGTTGACTAATACAAGAAAGCATCAAACTGTTGACTAATTCTGCTTCAGAAATGTGACAACTAACAGCTTGAAGTAGTTTATTGTAGTTTCCTGCAGCCGCCACTAGATATTATCAACGAGCCAGACTTCGGTTTATCGAGCCACCGCAGAACAATTAAAAGTTGTACCTTTGGGTTGAGGACCAGCTGCTGCTCATCAAAGTGCAGCAGAGCCACCGAGTTTGACTCTGAGTTGTTGACGAAGATCTGCAGGCAGGGATAGAGAGACGTCCCCTTACAGTCCGTACCGCACGTAAACACGCACTCGAACATCTCCTCCGGACGCAACACCGACACCACCTGCAGGAAGGACAGAAAATATCAAAAAAATACTGCTTGCTATCCTTACATAATTTAGTATTTGTCTCACTGTGAACACGTACTTACTCCTAAAAAACATATAAATAGTAAAAATAAGAAAGCTTAAAATATTGATTAATTCCAGAGATAACATTTTCAACCAACTCACCGACCTATCGTTTGCTTAATTAGCTAGCTAACTTAAGTTGAAGAAATAATCTGCTTTATTTCTGTCTGAAACTATTACTCTGATAAATCAGTCACTGTCTCATTGTTCAGTCCAGGAAGTTGTAATGACAACAATTCAACCAATCTATGTGAAGTTTGTACGTCCTTGCAGTTTGTCCAATCACCGTAACCTTTACGCTTTAGCAGTAGCAATCCCCGGCCAAAAATACCAGTGATTTTATTCCCACTGAAACAAGTTGACTTTGATTTTTAATGAATTATACAAATGCTAAAAAGTTTCTCCTGTAATTTAATTGCAACATGCATCAAAATCCTTTAGAAATTCTGTCAAATGAGTTCAACAATCCCCCAAAAAAGTCCTATTAAATAGTTTGGTAGATTAACATTTCAACTCTGAATAGTCAGAATAAGTGAAGGTGGAGATTAAACAGTGTGCAGTGTTTCCCTCTGCTGCTCTTCAGTGGGGAAATCCTGCTAGTTGTGAATTGTTGAAGAAATCTCAGGGAACTCAAGAGGTCTGCGATTAAAAAAGCCTTCAGTATCTCACGGCTATTTAATCACAGTATCATATAAAAACATGCCTCAGTGCTGCAGCCATTAGCTGAGTGAGTCAAAGGAGGATGAAGAGTGATGTCTGCAGTTCTTCTCCCTGCTCATTAACGGACTGAAAACAACAGCTGCAGGCATGAATATAAATATCAATACACAGAAAATACACAATCAATCTGTGCAGATCTGATCAAAGTCAGACGTTTCTTCATCACTCAGGAGGTCAGAGAGCTACAATAAAGTCCAAGTGTTTGTGATTTATGTCATTAAGCTTTGGATTAGTGAGCCACAGAGTGGACGCTCTCATTGTTCGTGTGATTTAAAGACAAAAAAAAAAACACAAAACAAAAGGCTTCCACTCTCTGTGATGCATGAACCTTATTTCAGGACGATGCAATAAGCTAACAGCCAAATAAATCAAGTCTGTATGAATTGATCATCCAGAGGAAACAGCTGGGAGTGCAGCCTTCAAAACGCTGCCGCAAACAGTTTCAATCAACCTCAGTGGAAAGTGACGCAGCACGAGGGAACCAAATGACCCCGAAGGTGGACAAACCCGCTTCGTACTGACGGAAAAAAAAGATTACAATTAATGATAAAAAGGCCTAAAGTGAGTAATTTTAACAATATTTTTAGATTTTTGTCAAAACTAAAGGTCGTGTTTGTTGTCTGCAGCTGCATCAATCTACGTTTGTCCTTTTCTGTCTCTGTTTTTGGGCCGAGGAGAACGCTGATCCACATCAGACCTACAGAGATCTTCTGTGAGCTCGTCTGCAAATAAAGAAATAAACTAACGTGTGATTCTCTGACTGAACGCCTTCCCAAGGTGGACGGGAAACCTGAGAGGTGTTGGTGAAGCTGCAACCGCGTAGTAATGTTATGAAATGTCAGCATGTTTGGGCTGAACCAGAAACAGTCTACAGACCCTGATATACCTCTAGATAAGAGGAAACTTAAAGCTGCTGATGGCACTAGATGAAGAATCAGGGGCCCTGTTCGCTGGAGGGCCCATAAATAAGTTGCTTATATTGTTCCTCTATTTAACAATGTGTGACAAAACATTTACAAAAACCCAAAATCCAATCATTGTGTCTTCCCGTGAAACCAAATGTGACACGTGCTTACGTCAGCATGAACTAACTGATTTCAACCAATAACATCCTGACTTTCACCCGTCAATCAATAATCAACTTTTGGCCAAACAGAGTGAAGATTCATTAGTTAGCTAGCTCTCAGTCAGAGACTGAAGCAGTTTCAGTGACAGTGTGATGATGATTGACGGCTCAGTGTGACTGATCCTGTCAGTCTGATCACATTCACTGTCCATCACTGACACCACTGATCTGTATTCGATTGATTACTTCACTCTGTACGAGGAAGATTACAGCAGATTATCTCAAACTAAATCATATCAGCATTTTATTAATCATAATATTCATAATAAAGTATCATTACTTCAACTTTGTGCATATCTACAGTATATTATATCATTTGGGGCTTAATAAGGATGTTTTCCAATATTTATATATTATATTATGGTATGGAAGGTTCAGGCAAAATCACACATAAAACAATCAGACCGATCAATTAAATGTGTTTAAATGAGACCAAACAGATAAAATACTTAAATACCTTTAAATAAATAGACATTTTTCTAGGAATTATTAATTTATGTTGATCAACAACACGATTAAATATGTGACGTCTTTAAATTTGTGCGTCAAACAACAAAATATTCAGTTTACTGTCATAAAAACTGAGACAAGCTGCTTTAAATCACCAAACTGTTTCTGATTAATCATCTGTTAATCATTGTTTCAGCACTAATCACTACAGCTATAATCCTAATAAACTAATAAAAATCATGATAGCAGGTCACTCTAGTATCTATTAAGGGTAATGAAGATACAAGTGCTGCCACTAAAGTCGGATATTAGTCTTAATACTTATGTTTAATATTAATAATACTCATAATAAGCTGCAATTCAGTATTAAAAACATTAATACTAGTTCTCTTAATAATAATAATACACTAAATATGGACAATAATGTGAATATTTGAACTGATTCTAATAACAATGTTGATTAAGAAATACTTCTATTAGTACTGTAAGAAGTTATTAAAGATAAAAATAACAATAAAAGTAGAATATACTAAGACTGCCTCCAACTACTATTATAAGTATTACTATTATTAATATTATCACTATTACTATTATAAGTACTATTATTACTATTATTAGTCCTACTATCACTCCGAGGCTCCGAGCAGCCACCGACCGCTCCCGGAGCCTCGGATCCGGGCTCACCGTGCAGTTGGCCGGCTTGCTCTGGAGGCTCTGCAGGGTCGGGCTGAGCCAGCAGAAGCCCAGGATGAAGAGGCTGAGGATCCCGCAGGCGATCAGGAACAACCCCAGCCTGATGCTCTTGTCCTCGGCCTCGGAGTACTCGTACGACACCCGCATCTTCGCCATGGCAGCCCCGCGGAGACCTCCGCCGGCATGGAGAGGAGGAGGAGGATGGATGGATGGATGGATGGAGGATGAAGGAGGAGGAGGAGGAGGAGGAGGCTGTTTGGCTGCTGCTGAGAAACTGTTGAGTTTAAACACAGGCTGCTTTCTGTCTCTGAATGTGTTTCATTCCCTCTGGCTTCATTTATCCTCCTCCCTCCTTCTCTCTCTCCTCTTCTCTCTCTCTCCCAATCTATTTTATACTCGACTGCCTCCCTCTTTCTCTCCCCCTCTCCTCCCTCCTTCACAGTTTTCATGCTTTATCTCTCTCTCTCTGTTCATTTTAAGTACCTGCTGACAGTGGAGGAGCTTTTACTACAGGAAAAGTAGAAATACAGTGTAGAAATGTAATCTATTACTCATTACTTATTTTAAAAGTAATGCAGTACAAACAGCTCTTCTAGAAACAACCCAAATATTCTTAAATATAATCACATTTTTACTTAAACTAGCATAAAAATCTACCCACTAAAGACTGAAATGAATCTTAAAATCTGTATTTTAGTTACTTTATTGAGCTGAATTTAAGAATTTGAACCTTTTAATCTAAAATATTCTTTCTGTTAAACAGAGAAGTTGTGCGAGTGCTCTTATTCTGAAAATATGGGCTATTATGCAACCATTGTTGTTACTGGTTATAATCAATATCAGCTGTAAGATCTCATTAAGACACAGTTAGATACCGTTTATTAAAACTAGATTCTAATGTAAATCATGTTTGACAAGATTATTTTTCTTTTTAGACAAAAAATGTAATGTTTTACTTTGAAATTCGTTTTTTGCAGTATATTACTTTACTTGTTACTCCCTTCCAACAGTAACTAGTTACATTAATCTTAAAATACAATACTTGATATTTCTTCTCTCTTGTCTTCATTTTGGTGTCGATGTGATCCAAAAGTAACGGAAAGTAATCAAGTTACTTTAAAATAGTGATACTTGGATTAGATTACTGACCTCTGAGCCCTGATAGTTACACTACTAGTTACTGGGGAAAGTAATATTACTATAGTAATCAGTTACTGCACTGGAAAAAATGTTGGCTGATTTTATGGTGAAAAACATTTATTTATATATTTTAAATTGAATAAAGTATTTTTTTTATATTAAAGCCTGTAAATTGCACAGAAAACTGCCAAATTCAAATATTTCTTTTAATGTTAAAAACTTGTATTTATACGGTAAAATACAGAATAAAACTCAACAGCATTAATATCCTTTTACCGTAACAGCAGAAAAAGCTGTCGACCACAGCTGAACGTTTTTACCGTATAAATAAAGTTTTTTTAACAATGGTTACGGGTGCTGCATTGGAGAGTAACTCAGTACTTTTACTCAAGTACTGTACAAGTTTGAGGTACTTTACTTGAGGGGATCCAGTGTAACATTGAGGAGGATCTATTGTCAGAAATATAATATTCACAGGTGTGTCTTCATTAGTGTTTAACCACCTGAATATAAGAATTATTGTGTTTTTGTTTCCTCAGAATGAGACGTTGATGAAAACCTCTTTATGAATATTATATTTCTGACAATAGATCCTCCTCACTGTTTCACACTGGACCTTTAATGTCAATAAACCATCTAAAAACACGTTGGATTATCATAAAAATACAAGTTTTTCCAGAGGAGTGGAAGCTGCTCAGGTGTCCACATACTTTTGGCCACCTCCTGCAGCCTGCAGCTATCTGGGATGTTTCTATGGTTTCATTTCTCTCTCTCTCTCTCTCTCTCTCTCTCTGCAGGTTGAGTGCTGCTCGCTCGCCCCGGTGGCCTGATGATTCAATCCAGATTTGTGTTTTATTTGGCCGCTGGCTGCTTGTTGTTCTCTCACTGTTACATGCTGCATGAGATAAGCCTCTTAGCTGAGGGAGAGCACGTCAGTCCCTCTCAGGAACATCCTCCGTTTCTCCCGACCACCACGACACAAATATTATAGTTTATAGTTTCTATTCACCTCACTCTTATTAAAGCCCGGGTGACGAGAAAAATGTCACTTTGACCCTTTAAGATCACATCTCCAGTTATATTGTTCCCACATTTAACAATGTGTGACAAAACATTCACAGAAACTCAGTTTCTTTGTATTTTTATATCAAAATCCAATCATTGTGTCTTCCTGTGAAAATGTGACGTGTGCTTATGTGAGCTGACAGCGGTACCGACTTGTTGCTAAAAGATGCTAACTGTCGCCAACTGTAATGTTAGATGCCTTTAGCTCGTGCAGCTAACGTTAGCCACCTTAGCTGCGGGGTGGCAGGAGTCAAAACCAGCAATAAATGAAGTAAATAGCACTGTTGAGTAAAGAATGAGGGTTTTGGTTCCTGTATCTGTAAGGAAACCTGCAGTTCCTCTAACGGCCACTAGAGGCGGGCTCCAGCAGTGAGGCTCCATAAGGCCTCATAATAAACACGTTTACAGTCTTTTGGTCTCTGGAGCTAATTGATAACTCTACAACTCACCTGTTTAAGGTTAAAGTGATGCTGATTAAGGGCGTGGCTGCTTTGAGTGACAGGTGGCCCAACCCGAATGGTGAATAATACATGTATTATTGTTATTATTATTATTATTATTTCAGGATTATTAAGGTCATAAATCAAATGTTTCGTCTTTGTTGGGTTGTTTATTTTTAGCTGTATTGACATCTATAAGATCTATTTTCTTTACTGTACCTTCTGCTGTCATGACACATTTTCTCTACAGGAGATCAATAGTTTCATTTCATCGTGTGTGTGTGTGTGTGTGTGTGTGTGTGTGTGTGTGTGTGTGTGTGTGTGTGTGTGTGCTCTGAGATCACTGTTAAAGATGCAACCAGCCGTCTAAAACGGCCTCCAAGGACCGAAATGATCAATGAGCTGACTGAAATGTATTGATTTCTCTCTTAACATGCAGTGAAGAGTCAAATGAGTGAAGGCACCTGTTGACAAGCCAAAGATCTAACACACACACACACAACACACAGACACACACACACACACACACACACACACAACAAAAGACACACACACACACACACACACACACACACACACACACACACACACACAGACACACACACACACACACACACACACACACACACACACACACACACATAGCAGCACCAACTACTTAAATAATTTCTTGTAATTTATTTGAATTGAATTTATCTATGTTGAAAAGACAGCCCATTTAAATAACAAAAGTAATATAACAAACTTTCCAATACAATTGAAGTGGACTTTAAGGACTTTTTATTAAAATTCATTTAAAAATGTGGAAGTAAATTTGCTAATGTTAGCAAAATGCAAAGTGAGCTAGCTAATTTACATCAATAATTAGTTAGCTGCAAAACACTAGTTTGTACGTTTTACTTTTATTTGTGAGCTTAAGTTACTCTTCGATGACAAGTTCTGATAATCAACACTTAACATTTTCTGGTTCTCAAATATAAAGACGAACGCTGGATTTACAATTGATGGAAGGACAAAGTGTCACTGAAGGTTTTGGGAAGTGCAGACAGACATTTTACACATTTTCTGACATTTTGTCGACCAAATTTAGTCAATTAATTTAGAAAGAAGTCATCAGACTAATTGACAGTGAAAATAATTGTTAGTTGCAGCCTCACAGGATGCAAAACATTTAACTTTTTTTTTAAACTATTGACCTTTAAAAAGTCCCAACAAATCATAGTTTCATCTTCTAAATGCTTTTTTAAAAGGCTTTTTCACCCTGAAATGAAGTAAAAGAGGTCAGTAAACACTGAATACTGGAAGAACAATGATCAAATAATGATATTCAAAGACGCTGACTATCAGCAATAACATCAGCTTCACCCTTTAAACGACGATATCCTTCAACCTCCAGCGCGGTACAGTGCTATCGCTCTCCGCCGCGGCTCGCCTCGGCCTGTTGCATAAATGTGAAAGGCTGCAGAATAAAGCCTCAGCATTATGCATTGGTAATCAGGGAGGCATGTGGCAGGATTATTATCATCTCTGCAGATCAAAAGATTACAAATAATAACGGACATCAGCGTGGAGGAACACGGAGGCCACGTGTCTCAGTCAGAGACACAGAGGGCCGAAACGTCAACATCTTTGAATCGTTTTGTTTTAAAGATTAAAACTACACGTGGGAGCTATGAAGGACATTTGAGATATATTTCTGCTTCTGCTGTGTTTGAAAGACAAAAAAACCCCCAAAAAAACAGGAAGACTTTGAAAGGCAGGCAACAGTTGGTATCCTCTCTGGACGGGATTTTGGCTTTCAGGGAATAAAACAAATAGAAAAAGGGGCATCGTCTGACTCGAATCGGCATTCAGATGATGCGATTAGGCTGCACAATATTTGCTCCTGTTGTGCTGAAAAAACAGAAGTAGTGTTGGTACAAAGAGCCGCCGCTGCTGAGGCAACATTTGGCTGAAAATCCCACCATCAACAGTGGTAATATCCCTCATTATGGAGGCGCCGGCTGCCTCTCCAAACGCACCGTCACGGGAAAAAAAGTGCAACGGCGTGATTCTGCAGCCCTGCTCTGGGTTTCAGTTTGTAGGTTTAAGGCAGCACATCATTTTTATCTCCGTATTTTGTCTCCAAACAGCCACACGAGTGGATGCCAAACACAGAACGACAGGCTGCTTTCTTACTGTAACAGTCCTGTTGTTAAAATGTGACATATGGCAGAGATTACAACATATTTCAGTAGTATTTTAACATAAATATAAAACGTCTTACACACAAAGTCGGTTTCATGGTTCTTTTTTCCTCTTCTAAATCAACTGTTGATTTATATCCTTCAAAAAAACATTTATATTTTATTCTTTATTCTGTCTGTCCAAGGCTTTACTATAAAAAACTAAACCTCAGAAACAACCCACAGTTTAAACTGGCTTTACATTAAATACTGTTTATATAACAGTTAGTATTCTATTTCTCTTCTCTTTATTATTTGAATCATCCTATTTTCCTGCATTGAATTCATGTTGTTATTGTTTATATTAATGTTATTCCTCTTTTTAAAACTGCTATAAATGGTTAAAATAGTCACATCTTAAGTTAACTAATCTACATCAATCATTAGTTAGCTAGTGTTTGGGTAAAATACTGGCTAACTAGCTAATCAAGATCAATTATAAGCTATTTACACTTGAAAGGTAATGTTATAACTACCTTGATCATTTCCTAATTTCCTAATCAATCGTTAGTTTGCTAACATTAGCTAACTTAAGCTGTGAGTATAAATACTGTAAAACTTCCAATAAAAGCAGGGTCCCTAATAGACGCAGGTCTCTTTTAAAAGCCTGGTGTGGCTACACGTTTTGACAAATAAACGCAGGTCTCCAATAGAGGCCTGGTCTGGATTTTATAGAAATCATCTTAAAACCCACCGGGTCGCCTGCTTGAGCGAGTTTAAGTCGTTTCAATCTCCTACACAAATATAAATGTTTAAACTTCTGTCAGTATGTACATAATGAACATCATTAATCAGTTATAGATTCTCCACAATTCAATCGTTCAATATATTTTATGAAAACGATCAACACCAAAGTATAACGTTAATTCATACACGGTAAACAAGAGAGACGGAAAAAAACCTCTGAAGCATCATAATCATCGTGTTAGTTTTCAAATTTGCTGAACAAAACTCAAAAGAAGCAGCAGTTAGAGTTTAGTGCTAAAGGAATTAAAGGCCTGTCCCAAATAGAGGCCTGTCCCCAATAAAGGCCCGGGGAGTTCAAAGATTTAAGCTATTATTAGAAGTTTTACGGTATGTCTCTTTTATCTTTTAACCATCTTTAAAATGTGGTTGTCTTTTCAACATAGATTAGCTTAGCATGTAGCATATCTAAAGACATTAAAGGATGACCACAAACTAACTGACACACTGATTTCTTTCTGCTGCACCAACAGAAATATTAAATCTCTAAAACCTCGAACACTGAGATGTTTGAAGTCTGAAGTTGTTTTTGTGGCTCTGGTTCTGCTTTAGTAAGACTTCACAATGAGCTAATTAACAAACGAAGTGAAGTTTCAGTTTAATTTCACACCTGCGCCCACTCTCTCTCCCTCACACTCTTTGTTACACACTTTGTTTTTAGATTAGTTCAGTCAGTTACATAACTTGTTTAAACATCAGTAATATTAAAAATGACTAAATATGAACTCAAAGGAAGCAGGTGGGAGGATGTTGTGATGTTTACCAGAGAATGTCCTGATCAGCTCTGCAACTAATCATTATTTTCATTATTGATTCAGCTGGAAATTATTTTCTCGTCCATGAAGTGAAAAGGCCCATACTGATTTCCCAGAATGCATTATGATGCCAGTCTTAAAACAGAAAGATCAGATCTTTTTCAAATCCTCACGTTTGAGAAGTTAATTAAATTACGAGAATAAAGTCGTAACAATACGAAAAAAAGTCTTTTAATGAGAAAAAAGCTTTGATATAGTTATCGAGATCTGACGTGAGCAGCTCAACCAATCAGCAGCCGCTGTTTGTCTCAGTCAACAGGTGAGATAACGTATTGATCATTTCGTTGTTAAACAGTTACGACTTTATTCTCGTAATTTCCACCAATTTTTAAAAAATTTTTTCTCTTAGTATGGCCCAAATACTCCGTCGTACGTCTGTCTCATTTAGGGTCTCATTAACATTAAATTAATCAGATTAATTAAAGAGGCCATATTGTCGGAGCTCCACTGAAGCTGCTGAGATGTTTCAGGTCGAACCGGCTCCGAATATAAGAACTGGAAAATCAGCATCAACGGTTTTAAAGTTTCTCCTTTTGTTTCCTACATTTAAGAGACGGTTTGAGTCTCTGCCGAGGCAGTAAAATCTGCTCTGCTGCGGCTTTTATCACCACATTAAGTCTTTATTGGTCTCGCCTTAATGTTCAGATAGTGTGTGTGTGTTTACCTTTGTGCTATAAACCTGTCCTCCTCCTGCAGCTCTTCATTAAAACCAGTCAGTACATTCATTAGGTAATAGGTTCAGCAGTTTCAAACTAAAATACACAATAAATGTATTTAATATGAATCATTTGGGCGTGTTTTATATGATTTAGGTCAGTTTAATCTGTCCACCTGCCTTCTTTGTCACATGGCGCCATCATGTGGACAAACTGAGGAAGCACAGCTGATTTATAGTTGACAGAATCTCACTTTGAGGTCCATTTAGGAGCTTTTTCTGGAGCTCTAGATTTCACCTCTGACCTTCAGTCAACTGATTTTTCTCCTGTTGGGAATCTCAACATCAGCGTGAGAAGTCCCAAAGTAGTAAATAAGCCAGAGTATACTTCTGCTAACTGGTCCAGACTCATAAAACATTATAAAGTGTATTTGTTCTTGGCTTAATGGAAGTTATCACTATACCATACAAATACTATGTAAAGATGGATTCCTGTACAGATTCTCTCTCCCGGCTCACAGGATCACCGTTAACTCGGCACTGTGTCGTCCCCGATCAATACGGTTACTAAATCTGAAATTCACTCTTAAATTGTGGCTAAAAACCTCTGCTGAGATCACGGTGACCTTTGACCCTTGAGTCAAAAGTGTCACCGATTCAGCTTCCAACCAATCCCTTCTGTTCCTTTAATGGTAAATATATAATAATACATCAAATAAACGACGCAGGAGTCCTCGTTCAGTTTCATTACCAGAATATTTTTATTTTATTCTTTTTCCTATTAAAACACTAGCTGCCATATTTATTAAAACAGCCAACGGCCAAGTGCCTCAGTCCTCATCCTCCAATCAAATCTTCTTAAGCGGGTCACATGGGTCTGTGGGCGTGTCCTTGGCTTTTGCTGCTGCAGTGTGAACGAGCTGGGCCCTGTAGTCACGGCAACCAACGTCGCCGCAGTCACGTCGGCGGCGGCGTCCGTCGTTGCTGAAAGGTGGTTGCTGTCGGCGGAGTCGGGCGTGGTCCCCTGTAAACTGTCTCCATGGTGGTTTCCGTGGTAACGAGAAGTCTAGTATTGCATCGCTTACTGGCGGCCAGCGGAGGGAGCGTCTCCTCGAGTCAGACACGGGACTCTTTTTTAGTTTTTCCCCTTTTTCTTAAAAATACTGCCGCGTTGTGTGTGTGTATATTTAAATACACACACACACACACACACACCTGTACATTGGTGCCTCCTGGAGGAAACTTAAAAATAACGAAAAGCGAATTATTTACGATATTTATACTAAAAAAAAATGGGATTTTTTTTTGGGTGGAGTGAAAATGATCTTTAAAAAGGAAATGTCGACATTTTAGGAAACACGCTCGTTGGCTTTCTTGCAGAGAGTTAGAGGAGACGATTGATACCGCTCTCATGACCGTATGATAAATATTACGCTAAACTTATTTAGTTCACTAAGGGAGAGATTCATCTTCTAGGGGTGTCAATCTTTCGGTATCCCATGATTCAACATGATTCTTGGGGTCATGATTAGTTTCAAAACCAACGAGATCGGCTGAATTTGTTTCTGCTCTATTTTCCGACTCCGAGAGCTAGCGTTAGCAGCGACTGAGGAGCCAGGAGCCACGCTGCTTTAAGGCAGTGGTTCCCAACCTGGGGGTCAGGGGCCCCACGAGGGGTCACCGAAGCTTTTCTTGATTTTAAGGGGTGTAATAAAAATTAAAAAATATACACAGTAGGCCTGTACTAAAGGATTTGGTTCACTTCTGGGAAGTAAAGTAAATGTAAAGTCTAATAGAACAATAACAAGAAAATACTGAAATTTGTCAAAAAAGAATCCTGTTAAGTCTGTTTGATTGTTAAAAACTATCAAAAAATACAGAATACAGACAGAATTGTATAAAAAGTTCCCTAAACAGGAAATAATCTGCTCAAAATTCATCCAAATCTCTGGTTTTACACAAACTTCCTGCAGTTACTGACTCACTGTTTGGGTTCATTGTTCAGTTTGAATATAATATGAAATATCTATAAAATGTCACTGAGTCAGCTGAAGGAAAAAGGTTGGGAACCACTGTTTTAAAGCAATGACAGCAACAAGAAGAACATTTAAACTACGCTTAAGATTGTTTTTTTTAATTGATAAAAAGATAAAAATTGTGATATTTAAATGAAAATCTTCTCATCCAACTCTCAGAGAAAGCGAATACGTGTATTTCTCAAAATGTGAACGTGTCCCTTAACGATCCTGCGAGAGGTCACTCCAGCAGTCTGATTGGTTCGACTGTTGCCGGGCAGAAGATAAAGACAATAAATGAGGGAGGTGATAAGAAAAGTAGAAGAACTTAAACAAAAAAAGGAGTTAAATATTAAAAGAAAGAGGGAGCTCCACTGGCAGAGGGAGGGAGCTGTAATGTCGGGATGAAATAAACAAAGATGAAAACTGGGAGAGAGCTGTGTCAATGTGAGAGGGATGTGCTAACATTTTTATTACTATTTATCCTGTTGTAGCGTCAAACGTTTCATGTGACAACGTGGTTGTAAGTTTGTATGTCGTAATAATGTGAAAACCATCCGTTACAACAAGTTTTTCTGTTTCTGGCGTGGCTGCAATATGCTGCCGTACGAAAGAAAAACACCAAACGTTTGTTTTCTCTTGGATACTTTCACCTTATCAGGCTTCTAAAAATCCTAAAAATAGATCAATCAATCGATCTGAAAGGGAAAAAAACGCTCACAGCTCGAGACTACACTGAAGCCTGAATCTGCAGCGAGCGGTCGCGTGTTGTCTTCGTTTTAAAGTCCAGGTGAAATTAAAAATGTCAGTTTAACCCTCTAAGATCACATCACACAACCCTGGAGACAGACAGACAGTTTGTTGACAGCGGTACCGAAGTGATTTATGTTGTTTCCTGATGGACTAACTGTTGCTCACAGTAATGTTAGATGAGGAGCTCCCAGTCCGACAGAGTCCGCTAATGGATCCACTACAGCTGCGACAGCTCCCTCACTAACTGAAAACCTACAGAAGCAGATAGCGCTCCGATTTCTGTTTCACCTGGACTTTAAGAGGCCAAAAACAACAGCGACCAGCTGTAGTTTTAATTGAGTATTGAGAGGTATGCACATAGGATTTGTTGACTAAGAAAAATATAGAATAAAGGCAGAAGAGGTGAATAAATGAGAAAAACTTTTTGCCAGTCAATTAAAAATGCCAAACACATCCCACTCAGAGAGACGTTCCTGGCTTCACCTCTTTAAGTCAAAAACAAGGAGCCTTTAAAATTAAACCCGCTGCTTCAGGCGTCGCCACATAACATCAACAAACCCCAAAATAAAAATAAAAGATATTTTTTCTTCTTTTATTATGAAATAGTGCTACAATGTACATTGCATTTCCTCTCCTGACTCTCCGCTGTCTGTCTGCTGATGTGTGAGTTCTGATTTGTAATGCTGGAAAACAACCTGGTAAAAGTAAGAGATAAATATTTTCACTTCCCGCCAAAAGCTCAGAGGGGGTGTGACACAATGTGTGCACGAAATAATTATCCATCCTGACAGGTGATTTTATTCTGTGTTAAAATCTGGTTCTTCTTAAAAGCTTCTCTAGACAAAAAATAGTCAATTCTTAAGACTGAATAGAAACATGAATCACTCGATCAGATGGACAGTTATTTACAGCGCTCGTGTCGGTGTGTGTTGTCTGTTGACATTAAGTCTGTGCTCCACATAACAGACCAACCAAACCAAACTCATGGAGGGAGGGGTGGGGAAATAAAAAAAAGAAAGAAAATGAGGTAAAGAACAAACAAAAATTTAGAAAAGTTAAAATCATAAAGTCTATTCAGTGAAGTGTTTGGGCGAGCAGGAGCCAGGACGTCCTCTCCCGTCCCGAGTCCTCAATGGCCAGATTCACTTTGAGTGTGTGGTGGTGGAAAAACCTAGACGGCTGACGACTGACGAGCCAGGAGGGCCAATGGCAGGCAGGCAGGAGGAGGTAGAGCCAATCAGAAGGCCTGCTGGGCAGGATTGTAGTTGAATGTGGAGGGAACGTGAGGTCGCTCTTCTAGTTTGTCATACTCCAGATGAAACTCCTGAAAACAGACAGACGGAGTCAGATTTACTTCTGTGTGGCTCTAACTTCACATTATATTCTGTGTTTGTTATATGTTAAATATAGCTTTAACTGTTATTAAACATGTAGGGTTCCTGCAGGTTTTAATCTGGTTTTATGGAAAAACCCCTTTAAAAGACCTTTATGAAGGAAAAACAGTATTTGTTCCATGTTGGTTTTATTTTGGAGTTCAAAGAACGATCAATACAGATTTCTCCCCAAAAGAGACACTCGAAAATGCGACTTTACACTTTTACTTTTTTGCCCCTGATCCCCATTTAATATTGAGTATCTGCCACTACTGTGTCCTGATCCAATACTTGAATTTTCAGCATTTTGGCTTCAACATGGTTTCGAATTATTGGTTATTGTGACATCACCACAAATAACTCTGACGATATGATTATATCCCAATTTAAGAGCCCAAAAAGTTAGTTTTGGATCCTGGTAGCAGGAATAAAACAGGTGTGTGTGTGTGAGTGTGTGTGTGTGTGTTTTACCTTGGCCACCTTCCTCCAGTTGAGGCAGTCGAAGAAGTAGTAGGTCCCTCTCTCGTAGGCGTTGGTCTTCAGCGTGG